ACAATATATAGACTGTATTTAGACAATATATAGACTGTATATAGACAATATATAGACTGTATTTAGACAATATATAGACTGTATTTAGACACTATATAGACTGTATATAGACAATATATAGACAATATATAGACTGTATTTAGACAATATATACACTGTATTTAGACAATATATACACTGTATATAGACAATATATAGACTGTATTTGGACACCAGATAGTTAATAGAAATGTTTTGTCGTCAAGGCTGTTGCTATAACCCGTGTGACTCTTTCTGATGGTTAGCTGTCGGAATGCTAACAGTTAGCGGTCAGTATGCTATCAGTTAGCGGTCGGTATGCTAACGGTTAGGGATCGGTATGCTATCAGTTAACGGTCGGTATGCTAACGGTTAGCGGTCGGTTCGGTGAAGACCCGGTGAGTCTCCTGTGAAAGACATCATGTGACTTCCTGGTTGAATGCAGGTGAGTCTCACCTGGGTCTATGAGCTTCATCCTGCTGCACTCCGATTGGTCGGCGGTGATCGGGCAGCTGTACACTCCTCCCGTTCGATTGGCTGGAACATTAGTCTCTGCCTTCTCCCTGGGAGCTCCGACCAATAGCCTGACAGCATGAGACAGGTGAGATAGGAAGAGACAGGTGGGACAGGAAGAGACAGGTGAGACAGGAAGAGAGAGGCGGGACAAGAAGCGAGAGGTGAGACAGGAAGTTGTAATAATGAAAATTGCTAAAAGGCGCCAGATGACGTCATAGGCTAATTTGCATAAAGCTGATTGTTCCTGTTCTAATAAATGAAGAGACTTCTCAGTGTGAAGGACACACACACACATGAAGGACAGACAATGACAGATGGAGGACTCTGTGTTTCATCTCACAGTCATGTGACCCAATCAGCTGATTCTGTCTCAGTAACCAGTAACACAGATGGCTGACTGGAATCACTGGAGCAATGTGTGTGAGTAAGTGAGTGATTGTGTGTGTTGTGGCATCACATGGGGCCAGGTATTGGAGAGGTGCTACATTCCCTTTGTAGATCAGCAGCCACACCTCAAAATGGCCATCGATGTACACACTACAGCTCCCAGACTGCCTTACCACTCACCCAAGTGTGGATGTTTAAGCCACCTGATTGAGGCAGGACTAGAGAGCTGCAGAGGAGAGGAGGAGAGAGCACACGGCTGGAAGGAGCTCTGAGAACTAACCTGGACTGTAGAACAGCATGAAGTAAAGACTGAGAAGGATTTAAAGAAAGAAGACCCGGTAGCCTGTGAAACCGAGGACATTCTAAATTCCAGGCAGAAGTACAAAAGTTTGGCACGCTTCTCGTCCAGGAGCGTTGCGAACACCTGCACAAAAAATACATCAAAACGTGCGGCCTGATCGGGAATGGTGTGCTATGATGTTTCTCAGAGATTCGTCCAGCGGTTTTCCGGAAAATCGAGAAAAACTGAGAAAATTTTCTCCATTCACTCGAATGGGGTTTCGGCGTGAAGAGAGCTACAAAAACACTTAACTTTGGGCCCGTATTGACTAGACCAGGGGTCGGCAACCTGCGGCTCGGGAGCCGCATGCTGCTCTTCAGCCCCTCTGTTGCGGCTCCCTGAGTCTACATCCACACTAATATGTTTTTGTTTTAAACGATCTCCGTCCACACGACGTTTCAGCATCGTTTTCTAAATGATCTCTGTCCAGACTTAAACGCCTGAAATCGAATATCACGTGACTCTTCACGTACACTGGGCATGCGGGTGGGTGCCGGTGTAAACAGGAAGTTGATTGGTTGCTCAAAGCTGCTAACATGACTTCAGACGGCCGCTCCGTAGGTCTGATTTCGCCGCTGGACATGCTGCTCACTAATCACTCCAATAACAGTTGCTTCCTCCGTAATAATGCAGACTTTAACTGGACAACAGCTGCTAGTAAAGACAACACGGTCAGTAATACCTGACCTTAAATAAAAATGTTTTCATATTTTGTCAAATAAAATGTGCGTCACATGCTATTACACCTGTCAAGAGCTTTTCCCTGCAGGTGGCTAATCATGATTTTCAGGCCCCCGCCCTCTGTAAACTATCTTGATATGTGCAAACAATATAATGTTGAAAGACACTTCCAGAACAAACACAGCATTTACTGAAAAGTGTCACGCTGGAGATGAACTCTCCTCTTCATAAGAGTTTGATATTGTTATAACAGGTAAAATAGCAATAAAATGTCAAGAATTGTCTTTATTCTTGTTCTAAATTTCATAAATACAACAAACTATAGTTTTTGTATATATAATATAACTACATATACAACTTTATAAGCTGCGATATAAAATAGCTTTTGTGTCTCCAGACACATTTTATTTGGTGGAAAATAGAGCAAAATGGCTCTTTGGATAGTAAAGGTTGCCGACCCCTGTACTAGCTATACATTAACGTAGAAACGTGATTCAAAGTTTAAAACGTAGACAAAACGCTGGACGTTATTGAGCCAAAGGGACATTTTGATAGCTAGCTCAGTTTTCATGAAGTCACAGATTAAGTTTCAGGAAAATTTTGGGTCCATTTCAGATTTTATAATGGGTGTGTATTGCACGGCTCATTCAGCGCTAGAGTGATGACATCACGGTCAGAGTGGAGCATAGCATGAAAAATATTCTGTGATTTTTCCAAACAAATTGCTCCAGCTCCCACAATTTTTACTCTTTATTCACCATTTATGGCCCAAAAACTTGGAAATGTTGTGCTGGTTGCAGTAAAGTGACTGTGGAATCCAACAAACTTACACATTTGGCTCAAAGAGCCGCAGAGCGACATGAACTCCACCCAACTGCTCCATTAGACTCCATGTTAAACCTGACCACTCATTTCTCAAAGAAAGCAGACGGTACCAGTTTTGTCTATTGCTCTGGAGCTCACATTATTAACACCACAAACTCCGCGTTCGGCAGAGTCTTATCTTTCTCACGGTATCCGTATTTTGTTGATTGGACTCATGAACTTCCTCGTGATGTGGACTGTCCATCACGAATACAAGATTCAATCCAAGAGTATGAATCTAAAATGCAGAAAAGAGAGAAGCGCCATCTCAATTGAACCTCAACAATACTACCGGTAACATCGGCGTGTATATATATTACGACGTCTTCGGGCACTAGAAGCCACACTGTCAAGATGTCTACGAAATGTTCTAGTTTTCTAATACTGTTCAGGTTAATGAACCATTATCTCCTTTTGTTTGTTTTGGACTTTTGATTTTGATAAAGAGAGTTACCTGAGTTTATAAAAGAAGAATAAAACTTTTGCCTGTTTTTGTTAATTACCTTACACCACCCCACATGACATTACTATGTGTGTGTGTGTGCGTGTGTTAGTGTGTGTGTATGTGGATTCCTCCTGTGTAGGAGCGCCTGATGCTCCACATTATTACACTGACGGGGTTTTGATTGGTTCTATTATATATTATTGTCTCGAACATGAAGTCTGGTTAAAGTTGACCACAGAACCACTTACCTGGACTCACCTGAGGATACAGCATTGAGACAGACAGCTGACAGACAGACAGGTGTACACTCACAGGTAGCTGTCTCTCTTCAGGTCTTGGTGCAGAGCGACAGACAGTCCAAACAGACTCCCGTCTCCGCCCGTCTTCAGCAGCGGGAACACCGTGTCGAGGTTAAATGCCACGCACACACCGACCCACGTGCTCAGCAACACAAACACACCTGTCGCCATGGAGACACACCTGAGAGGACGGAAACAGCAGCAGCAGCATGTCAGTGTCAGACAGGTGGAACTAAACGAAGGTTACAATACCGTAACCCTGGGTCTATGAGTTCAGGCAAAGCCCTCTACTGGACTCTCTTCTGTTCCCAAAACTACACCCAGCAAACTGGGCTGCACCAAGGGGGTGATTAAATCTCTCTGATCTGAGATTAGTAAATCAGTAAAGTTAACACATTCAGAGAGGAGAACCGTCTGTGAACACAATATCATGTGTGTGAAAGACACCTCAACCTGAAGGCTTGCCCCTTTGTGTTGATGATCAACTCGCTGGACCAGATCCAGTAACCGCTTGATGGTTAACGTATGGCCTACGAGACGTGGACGTACGGGGCGTGGCCACAGAACGTAAACATTGGTAACTTTAACATACGAAACGTCGACATTTGGAACTTTAACATACGTAACATTTGCATAAAATGCTGCTAAACTATAAACTATATGTAAATATAGGTAATAATAATAATAAGTATAGTTACTCCAGTACTGAACTACTTGTACTCGAGTATTTCACTGCATGTATTTACAGATAGTTTGAATAATCAGCTGAGTTTATGAAATGTGAAACTGTAAATAAAGGAGTTCATTCTGGCTCCACCTGGAGCAGCTGCACATTGATGCATCAATATTAATGATTAATAATCGATCATTAATTCATAAAACACTGTCAGTACTTCAACACAAGTCCGGGATCAAACCACCAGCCTTGTGAGAGCAAGACCCGCTCTCCCCCTGAGACACAAAGGGACCGGCTCAATGGGTACCATTATTATTGTTATTATCAATAATCAATTGATTATTGATAATAACAATAAAAGATATAAAACGCCTTAACAAAATAAAATAGTTAGTAAATAAAACACTGCAATACTTTTAAAGTATTTGTACACTTTGAAGTTGGTACTTGTACTTCAGTAAAACATGACAGTATTTGTTCTAATAAAACTGAAGAAATATGAACGTCATCTTCAGATAAACAATCTGCAAAGAGAAGAAGAAGAAAGTCAAACCTCGTCTTCTTCAGTCACAAGATTTAAAGATGAACGTTTCTCCGTCTGCTGACGACTGATCTGTCTTCGTCTCTCTCTTCGTCTCCCTCCCTCTCTCTCTCTCTCCGTCTCCCTCCCTCTCTCTCTCCGTCTCCTTCCCTCTCTCTCTCTCATTCTCATTCCTCAGTCGTGCTAGCTTGCCCTCAAATTAAATCATGTCTCACTCTCTCTCTCCAACCCCC